ATTATAATTATTAACCACTGCAGTAGTAGATTTTTAAATATTAATTATCACATTATGTGATGTTAACAACTCATTTTAAAAATCTGCTAATTAAACTAAACATATTATTAGATTTAGAAAATAATGACGACATTTATTCACAAGCCTCTTTACCACCATCTGATCTTGATCAAATAGAAAAGCAATTTAAAATTGCTATTTATGACTTTTTGAATAAATATTGGTATGATTTTCGTGAAGTTGGATTAGTAGCTACCCTTTTAGACCCCGGACCAAAAGAATGTCTGCATTTACAAACAGAAAATAAGAAAAGGCTAAAACAAAATTAAGGAATGAATTTGAGAATTTACAATGTATTAATAATATTAGCAATGATCAACCAGTGCAACAAACATCGTCAACAGTTACTGAAATAATGCAAAATCTATTTTTTGAAGGTATTTTTGGAGTACAGGATCAAGAAGATATACCTTTAGATGAGATGGCACAATATCTGAAGATTACCCCTATTAATAATTATAATGTCAATCCTTGAACTAGTGGAATAATAATAAAACTGAGTTTCTAATTTTGTCATTGTTAGCATGTAAATATTTATGCGTACCAGCAACTTTCATTTTATGTGAAAGACTTTTCTCAAATGCAGAAAACCTGATTACTCCCCAACGTACACAATTAAGCTCAAAGATTATTGGAAAAATTCTCTTTTTTAAGCGTAATACTGAACTTTTGAGTAGATTTAAAAATTTATATGTCATTTTTGATTCAAATATGATTTTTTTCATATGCAATTCTTAAATTTTTTCATGTTATTTACAATAGACTTAATCAAATAATGATTAAAAAAAAAAATTATACGAAATTTAGGCTGAAAAAGATAAATATAAAGACACCAAGACAATTATTATTATCAAAAATGTGCTAACGCTTATATCATTAGAGGAATGTACTATGAAATTGCTATAAACAAAAATACATTTTGCTATAATTAAGGTTAAAGGTACTGATGATGAATATAATCCTAATGGATAGGTAGAGTTTTGCAATAATAGCTTGACTTTTTAATGAAAAATAGTACTATTCAAAATTCTATTTTAAATTGCGTAAGATAACCAGAATATACAATTAGCTGTTATATTCATTATAGCCCATATTTTAGTTATTGGGCATGATATTATCAAAAAGGATCAAAAGATGGAATATATAGGTAGCACTAAAAATGAATTTTCATTTTATCTTTTTTTTTGTGTATTTTAAGGGCAACACAGATGCTAACTATATTATTGCATCTTTTAATTCTAAGAGTCTTGTCTATGAATAGTAACTAGAGTTCCATCTAGTACAAATATCGGTGATATTATGCAACACTTTTATTGTAGATTCATCAATTTCTCTATCTTCATCCTCTTCTTCTGAACCAATTTCTTTATCTATATTAAGAGCTGATAACAGATTAAATCGAACAATTTCAACATCCTCTTCTCGAATATGATTTTGTCGTACAAGATTTATTTGTGCCTCATCAAGCTGCTCGGATTGTTTAACTGATTCTGTAAAAAATTTTATCAATTCTTTGAACCTTTTTACATAAGGACCAATTTTTTTTAGACCCTTCATCACTGATAATTGAAGAGTATGAGCGGAACAGGATAACCATTCAATATCTTCTCACATGATAAAAGCTTTTTTCATATTGGAACCATTATCGGTGACTCCTAAAAATAATTTTTTATTTAAACCAAATTCACCTATTTTATTATCAATATAATTATATATTTTCTCAGCTGTATGAAGATACTACATACGTTTAATAGTAAGAAGCACATCAATAATTTCAAAATCAGGTGTGAGCCAATGAACCGTAATGCCGATATATCTAAATTTGGATCTGGCAGTTCAGAGATCTGTGGTAATAGTAGCATATTCACATGTTTCATTAATTTTTGTCATAAGTTGGGTTATTCCATCTTGATAAGCTGCTGCTATAAAATTTTTACACCCTTTATTAAATGGTGATTTAAACCGTGAATTAATTTTTTTTATAAATCGCTGAAATCCTTCTCCACGAAGTGTATTAAAGGATAAAGAATCCATAATAATCCACTTTGTACATGCTGCTTGTGGTTCATTTTGTTTATTTGGGCCATACGGTTTTACATTATCTAGAACTTGTTCAAGTGTAACTTGTTCTTTTTTCTCTGCCTATTAAAATTTTGCAAAAAATGTAAAATTTTTTAATAAACGTCTGAAAAAATCTACCCAGATAATCAATATAGTCAAAAAAATTTTTTCAAAATTTGATCCGACCAGATTATGAGAACCAATTTATTAAATTTGTATGGCCTAATGATAAATTCAATAATACTTTTTTAGCCAGACTTTTAAGAACTATATCATGTTCTTATATTATGTGATAATTCATTGATATTGTTGAATTTGAATTAGTACAGTCATATTTTTGCTTGCACTTTTTTGTTTTCCATCTTGAGTTATTTCGACTTGGCATACTGCAAAATTTCCTTCTATTTTAAAATAATGCCATGCTTCAGCTATGAGTCTGCGTTTTTTTCTTTTTTTTGGTAGACTAGTAGTTTTTTTGTCTTTTAACACAGATGATAATGATTTAGGAGAAAACTCTATTTCTCTACTGTTATTATTATTGTTATTATCATTGATTTCAGGTTCACTGTCGGTTTCTAAATCATAAATTTCACTATCTTAGATATTATTCATCTTAAACGAAAAGAAGTTGATTCAAATTTTTTTTAAAGTTTAATTTATTTGTTGCATTCAATTCCAATTTTAGTTTATACTCTTAAAACAAATTTCAATTTTAGTATCATTACCAATGATCAAACTGGTATATCACAAGAAATTGATTTTAAGGTTTGATTATCACTGCATTATTTTACTAGAACTTGCAATATGAAGTTTAGTATGTTGTCAAACAAATTTTAAACATTTTAAACATCATGGATTCGATCATTGTTATTAAAGGTAATATAGGATAAAAGAAGATATTATGGTGAGAGTGAGTAATATGATAGGTTGAAAAACTTATTGTTCCACTAATCAGTATTGAATAGTATCTATGTTTTAATTTTTCTCTTTTAAGAATCAAAATATATAAAATCACTTAATTTTGTTCACTGCAACATGAAATATGTATCAAATTATTTCATAACTAAATTTTATTGATCACTAAACTTTTTATTAATGTGTTTAATTCTAACTAAAATCTAATGCACTAATCATTAAATTCAGAACTCGATTTTATTCAAAAAATATGAAAAAAAGGCTGAATACGAAAGATCACGAATGATCGATAATATAAAATCAAAATTCACTATCTCTATACTATGAATTGGATAATTGTAAATTTTAGAAAAGAATTTTTATGTTATATGTTATCATCATTTCTCGTTTTTTGTACTGCTTATGCTTTACTCTTCTTATCATTGTATGTTTACAACATCTCCACTTTTATTTGAGTAAGTAACAATTTTACGTTCATCACTTGATATGAGCAGAGCAGCAGCACTACTAATTGCAAGTTCGCTGAAGTGGTCATTTCCTGGCACGCAAATGTCAGGTGAATAACAAATTAACATCTCTGGCTTTGAAGATAAAGCCACTTTGGCGTAGTCATTCGTGAGAATATTTGTGCTGAAACTAATTATACACTTTCCACTTGGATCTCTTAGACAACAAAGATAACCTACTTGTAGTTGGTGAATAATATAACTTTTTGAAAATAAGTTAGTCACATTTATGTCACAGTAATATTATCATAAAAGAAGCCACTGTACTTGAAATCATAAAGCCTTGACTACACACTCTGGATCATTCAGCATTGACATCTGAAACTGGTATGTTAAGTCTTCACTCTTGATAATTTTTATGAAGTTTGTGAGTTGAGTGAAATGCTGTAAGCATGAATGGTATTATACTATACCTTCTACTTAAACATATAATTATTATAGATGTTTAAATCAAAGATCAGACCCAGTTTATAAAAATAGCATCAATTAAAAATGAGAAATTTTATTTATTCTAATCATAAACCCTACCTGATCTGATCTCAGTGTTTAATCTAAATTTTTTGGAAGGTTGTACTACTTGTAAAAATGAGCACTAGTATTTTTATTTAAAGCCTGGTATTAGACAAGCGGTTCTAAGAGAATTGGAAAGAATAAAATAAGAAGTATAACCATCACTGAATGTATGCTAGTATTGGATAAATTTTTTAAGAATGAAAATGCGCTAAGTGTAACTCATTATTACACTTAAAACCTGGTACTAGATGTTTGATACTCAGATAGTTGGTTAAGTAGAAATAAGAATGTCGATGATTGCATTAAAGAATTTCGACTTATGGTTGAATGGACTCCTTTTGATAAATTAGATAAAATATTTTCAGCAACCTGATTAGATGGCATATGAAAATAATGCATACACATAGTCATATATACCATCGTATCTAGTAGATCTTAAGAAACGTTGTAGTTCTCAGAATTCATCAGATTTTCTAAAGAAAGTAAATAGTTTTATTTAAATTATTTATTGCATATTTATTGCATATTTATTAAGCATTGGGTTGTAAAT